CCGTCATCAGGCTCACCCTTGCTACTGTCCCGCACAAAAGTGCTGCTAGTCGCCAACGGGCTTCGACTACTCTTCCCCAACGCGTTCTCCAACTCTTGGTAGGCCGATCGCTGTATATTCTGCGTGTTTTGAAGGCGCTGAGCACACAGTAGAATACCGCAAATCCCACTCTTCTCATCCCACTTGAATAAGCTCCATCTCTTCCCTCTCCATAGCGGATACCAACGACTCAGTACGAGAGCGAATCGCCTCCTCTTGTTGAACTTTATTTTCATATTCTATTCTCGAGTTCTCCAACTTCCGTAACTGAACGCCGCTATACCACAATTTCCAATCCTCGCCCCCCGTACCTTCTCCTCCTCAATTTTCTTCCTTGCATTCTCCTTCTGATTACGTATCGCCGTAACCCTAGTCGTATTCAACCCTCTACCATACGATGTAACTATTTCCACTTCCTCCTTAGACCTCTCACCTATCTCTCATCCACTCCTCCTGCCTCTGTCGTTGTAACTTCATCTGTTCCTCCCGACCTTCTCGCACAAGGTACCGCTTCGTTTCAAGCACCGCAGACTTCGACGCCTACTATAACTACATTCCACCACCACCGTCACCACCAGCATCACCTCCCGTTGCTGCCTGGACTTGTCCTTCGAAGAGGCATTTCGCGCCTGGATGGCTTGAGCCGCTTGCCGTTGCTTCTTATGCATCTTTAGTAACCTCAATTTTCTATCCAGCGAATTCGCATAGGCATCACCTCTTCCCTCGCGAGCATTTTAGCTTCATTTTCGGCACGCAGTGTGTTGATCTGCTCCGCCCTAAAGCATGCATATCCTAGGTCCACTTACGAAAGATACAAACCAGGCCCAATTTACTTTCTACGAGTCTCCTGTATTTTCTTCCACGCCTTCTCCTCCTCTTGCTTCAAAAGCGCAATGCGATTGGCCAGGAGTTGCGCGTCCAGCTCTGACCTCTTTCGGGACTCCTTTGCCAACTAAGACCATCCACCAGCCTATGGTGCCCCCTCCAGGTAGCCCCTCCCTACCGTCAATGTCGCCCGCATATGACTCACTTCCCCCTGCAACTGCGATGTTGCCGTACTGGTATTGTGCGAATGATGACCTGAGCAAATTCCTATCAAGCACGGTTCAACCTGAGTTACGCCAACTACCATCAAAGCCATCGTGGTGGCTGCTCTGAGCCTCTTCCTGATCGAACGTAGCTGAGTGGTTCTCCATCAGAAAATGTAAAACTG